CCATTCTTAATATGATCAGTTTGGTAGCAGTGTAATTCAATGTTGGTAGGCAGATTTACTGCTTGACAGTTAATTGACTTTAATTGAACCCAGTTTTGTGACTTGTGAGTGCAATTCAACCAAGCTTTATCTTGATACAGTGTAATCCTCAGTATTGTGCTGCTAGGATTGTGAGGAGTTTCCTTGAATAAAAAACCACCTAGGTCATAGTTTAGGGAATAAAAAATGTTATAATTTCAAATCAGGACAGCTTTGAAGTTTTCTTGATGTCATGTACCTTAACCCACCACAAGACACCAGAGTGCTTGGTGTTGTACTGACTGAGGAATGGGATGGATATTAAGATAGTCAAGATTTCTACCAAACTAGTTCATTATTTTATCCTGAATTTAAAATACAAAATTTTCATATCAGGAGTCACTTGTTGCTACTTTCTATTTGAATAGCTTTAACAGTTTGTTAAGGCTGTTTTTGTTGTTCTTTTTTCATACATTTCCAAGGCTGAAAATTATGTTTTGGCCTAAGTTTTAGGTAGAAAGTCAAACAGCCTGATATGTGTTTAACCTGATTCTTCTACAAATACTTGTTTTCCCACAAGTAAGTTTATTAAAATGATCAAATATACACTTTATGGATGTGTTGAAATCATCTTTTGTTTTATAAGTGAAAGTGTGAAATAAAAAAAGAAAACTATAAACATTGTTTGTGCTATATGTGTATAGTATTGATAGAAAATTCATGAAATTTGAGATGTTTGCTATAGAATAAGTGAAAGTGCAATATGAGCTGCCACCAAATATACCCTTTACTCTTATACACCCAAAATATGAGCGACCACCAAGTATACCCTTTACTCTTATACACCAACAATATGAACTGCCACAAAGTATACCCTTTACTCTTATACACCAACAATATGAGCTGCCACCAAGTATACCCTTTACTCTTATACACCAACAATATGACCTGCCACCAAGTATACCCCTTACTCTTATACACCAACAATATGACCTGCCACCAAGTATACCCTTTACTCTTATACACCAACAATATGAGCTGCCGCCAAGTATACCCTTTACTCATACATACCAAAGCACTTTTATTTCTTAATTCTTTGTATTACATTTACATATTGTATCTTATGTTGATGTTGCCACACAGTACACCTGTACAAATATCCATTAGTGCCTAATTTCTGCTGGATTTTTCCAGCTGAGATATGAAACCTGTTATTTTTCTTTTCTTTCTTCTTTTTCTTTCTTTCTCTTCTTCTTCTCCTAAAGGCAGAAAAAACTCTGAAGTAGTCAACTACATTACCTCTCTCTAGCCTTATTTCAAATAGTAGTCTCATTAACACTTAAACTATTTTCCAAAAACTCAAAATTCTCCCTCCCATAAATGCCTCTCAACTACTATCCAGTACCTTTTTCTTTTTTTTCTATTAAAGTAGTAGTATCTATTAAGTATAGTGACAGACATTAAAACAATAACTTTAACATAAAACTGTATATGCTGTAAAATTTGACACTTAAAACAATCTTTGTTTTTTGCATTTAATGGTTTTTTTTTTAAAAAAAAAGGCCAATTATCAGATAGCCTCTTAAAAATTTTACTTTTTAGGTTCTGTGTACTGGTTATGTGACATTCATTTATGATAATTTTCTGTGGATAAATTGCTATAATAAGATTAATTAATTAGTTACATCTTTTCCCAGGAAAAGAAATACAAGTTAATGTCAAACTTACTCTGTATGAAATGCAATATCTGTATTTTTTAATAGCTAAGTCTTAATTTTAAAAGTAAATAAAGGTTAACATCAAAAAGAAGAAGAGCATTAAAAATGGGAAGACCAAGCATATGATGAAAAAAATATTTTAATTATCAAAATAAGTCTTAACAACTACAACAAAAATTCTGCATATGTTGAAAAAGATCACCAGGGCACAGTGGGATATAAGATGTGCCCTGGATTTTGGAGGTGACACATTTAGTGGTGGGGACACACCATCTACCAGTCTTAACCTCTGTTCACTAGTCTCACATGTTAAAGAAAGAATAATAAACATAAATAAGAAAGAAAAAGAAGAATAAGTTAGGAGAGCAAGATGTGGGTGCTCAATCCCACAATGTCCCACATGTATATCACCCTTCACTATCTGCAGAAGTTGTAGGAAGGTGATTGCTCTCTAAAGAAATGTAAAAGAAAAGAAAAACAAAAATAAGGTCCTACCATTGGAGGTAAGTTAGGGAACCTTGCCTCCTGACATTGGCATTCCAGCCCCTATTATAGTAGTAAAAGCTGAAATTACTAAGTTAATTAGTATGTATTGACCATTCTCCTCCATTTTTCCATTCAGAGTAATAAAGACAGGATGTCTTATGTTATTAATTTTAAGGTCTTCAAGATTTCTGCAAAATCAAGCATAACTGAAACTGTTTCTAATGATAACAGATAATTTATCTTTTAGGTAAGACCAATATTGAATGTGGAGTTTTTAGATATTATTAAAGCCTTGTGTATCAGTATCTACCTAACTGTATATAAGTATATTAAGTTTCTAATATTGTTTGTGAAGGGCAAGAGTGGGAAAGAGCTCAGCGTCTTCAATTGAAGATGAAAAGTAACCTTGAAATGGCAAAGGATAGACTTGAGTTTCTAGGTAATTTTTTTTATTATTATCATTATTTTGAAAAGTATTTATCAAATTATAATCAGTGTCTTTTCACCATTGATGAAATAAATTATATTAGTAATGCAAGTTTTGTTAGATGTCTTAAGAGTTCTTTTAACAGATAGAACATTATATGGGAAGCAGACCTGGAATAAATAATAAAAAAGAAAAGATGAAAATGGAACTTGAAGATAATAATTACTGACAAATGATATTAAAATATTTTAGCCTTTAGCTACTCAAAATTGCAAATGCAAGTAGGAAATTCCATAAATTGATATGAACAGTGACTAATGTTTTAAAGGATAGCTTATTACTGAGATTGATAAGTAACCAAATAAAGTATTACATATGTATTTTTTTAGCTGTTGTTCTATATTCAGTATTATATCTTAACTCTATGCACTTCAGAAATGCTACTCACCTCTCCACAGAACTCAAAGCTATTACCTCACACCATTGCTGAAAAGATATTTGTGCATGCACCAAGCCTAGAATGAAATTCCCACCCCTACACCTACAAGATGATGTTTGTTTACTCATCTAATTTGAAACTAGTTTATTACCAAATTACTTCTTATTGGCACTCATGTACTATAATGTATGATTGAAAATCTAATTAAGGACATGTGACAGGTAGCCATTTCTTTCGAACTGCCATAGTCAGAATTTTACTTGCAATGTAAAAAGTATATTATAGACAAACATGTATACAGACTGTAGTGCTCATTTTTCTTTTTTCTTTTTAGATAGTGCTTAAGTATCTTTTTTCTTCCTCATAAGAAAGTGGGTAATTTTAAGAGTATAGCTTCATTTTTTTCCTGTGTTTAGTAAGGATTTTAAAAGTTGCATGTTTTGTGTTATGTTAAAATGCTTGCTGCATGCCCACATTGTGTGGTATTCCAGAGTGCATGGTGAGGATCAAAAACTTAGGAGAGAATCTACCACTGCACCAGGCACAGGAGGGTCACATGCATGCTGACAAGACTCAGGCCTCTGACAACAGCTGTACCAAACGGCGTGGCTGGCAGAAGCCCCTCTTGCTTAAACTGAACACTGGTGGCACCAATGATGTAGGACCTACATGGTCAAAAGATCCAAGTCCTGTTTCTCCCACTCCCCCTACAGGTATAGTATTCTTATTCCTGTTTGCCTTTTCTGAGGAAGCATGCACATAGTGTTAACAGTTTATTTCCCATGTGCTTGATTAAACCTTTGCACTTAATGTTGCATATCCTATCAATATTTACTTTCACTGATACATTCATAAGAATACATGAGAGTTTCACTTTTAATTACCAAAAAAGTGTAACAAGTGATGTAATGCTGAAATGCCAATTTCACGTGTGCTATGAACAATATCTCCATGAATCTTATCTTCTTGTCATACCCAACCTCACTGATAGTTTATAAAAATTCCTATATTCAGCACTAGTGTTCACATTCCAAGGTTAAGATTGGTGGCTGTGCATAACATATAATTTAGTGTTGATATTATCCTAAGTAACTGCGTGATGATGTTCTGGCCTTTACATAGCATAATAAGTAAACTTTACATTGGATGGTATTTTAACTGTTTTCAAAGTAGCAAAGCCTATTTTGTGTTACATAGGAATGTTTAATCATAGTTTGTTCTTGGCTACTAATAATTTTTCTGTGAAGTTGACTGCTTTCATTAGACAGTTTAACTGACAAATGCTTTATTTTTTGAGGAGTCGGGAAAATCCTTTGTTTTTATTTGGTGCTACAACCAATTGAAACAGTCTTGAATTCATAAAATATTTTTACTTTCCATGGTTTTACTTTTTTATATTAAATATTATAAATAATGCAAACTATCTGTATAATAAACTCAAACATATTTATTTTATTACAAGTTATAGCTTTTACGGTAAGGAAGAATATTTGTAAAATAGATACAAAGTTTCAATCACTGGTACAATCATTCTCAAGGACACAAGTTTTAATGGTAATTAAGGTTTTTCCTTTCCTTGTGTGTGCAGTTTAGATTTTGAATATTTTTTTGCATTAAACTCTGTAAGGAGGATTTTCTCACTTCATAAATCAGATTTAAAAAAATAGTAAATTAATATTTCTAGATAAGATGAAAAAGGACTCCATACATACTTTGCCACAACTTCTCTAAAATTTGATTTAATTCACCTTAACAGCCACATGATAGTGCTAAACAATCACATACTTATGTAAATAAAATATAAAATTACAAAATAACTCTAAAGTTTATGGGATTAGCTCATTTGATTCTTGCTTGTATGGAAAATGATACACGCAATTCAACAATATTTGTGTTAACTCTGAGTTTCCTTAATGTATCTTCACAACATCTGGTAAGGTTTTGTTAAAGATTACAAGTATTTTGTACATAAAGAATGAGATTATTTTAATTAAGTATATAAGCTAAAAATTTGTTATTTTTGTATTATAGTTATTTGCACTCAGACTCTGAATATTATCATCAATGTATAGTGCAAAGAAATGTTTAAAATTAAGAAATAGAAAAAATTACCTGCCTTTTAATTGTTCATTGAATAGTCTTAAAAGATCTTTTGGTTATGTTGTTAATTGCAAGTTTTTACATTTTCACATAAAGTTTATTTTTAATGTTTTATTTTTCCTCTGCTGTCCTTTAGCATTATTATCATTACACTTGTCAAAGGGCATCCTCAGGCAATATTATGGTATCATTGTCAGAGATACTTAGCCTTTGACAGAATGTTGTTGCTTTTGCATACTACACTAAGCCTTATGAACTGATGCAAAGTTTGGGTTATATTTTAAAAAATTATTCTACCTTTCTAATATGCACTTGAAAACAGGAATAACACAATCAAAATAAAATTAAAACTAAAGCCTAAGTACAATTTAATTGTCTATCTAACTAACAGTTCTAGGTGGAAGACAACACTAAGTGTGCTAGGAAGGATGTAAGCTGCAAAAATACTAAAAGCAGTTTGAAGAGATTGTATGAAATTTTGCATGTCAATTTGAAAATAATCAATGGAAAATTGTAGTTTAAAACTAACTCTTTCTATTGGCTGTACAGAAATAAATAGCATTGAATGGGAAATCGTATGACTGTGTAGAAAGTGAGCATGGCTTCTGTCAAGAGTTACCAAGAGATTTGTTGTTCCTTTCTCAGAACTTGCCCTTAGGAATTTGAAGGAAGAATGTGTAAACAGAGCAATTAGCCTATTTCTGTATATACATTGAGGTCAATTGTACCAGAAAAATTACTTAAGTTACAAAGACCAAAAGACTTGTAAATGCTTATGCATCATGGGACAACAAAACCAAAGATTAAGAGTTTTTTTTGAAAAAATGAATTAATACATTGAATTAAAACATATGTTAATTATGGCTGGAGACGGCTTGAATGGGTAATGAAGAAAAACTTTAATATAAGTTTAACATAACAGCAAATGTACAACGTTTCAACAAGGTTTTGTCATCATTAGGTACAATATATTATATTAAAGTTTTCTTCATTACCCATTCAAGCCGTCTCCAGCCATTATTAGTCTCAAAGTGGGTTCCTCATCACCGAATTTAAAACATATGTTGCAATGCTTATTTCATTGACGTACATTGATAGTAGAGTTACTTAATTAAAATTTAAATGTAACTGAGTGAAACCTTGTGACGTACACGGGAAGGGGACCCATAAATTCAGGGTTAACTCCAGGGGTGTAGATATTATATTGCCCTATGCTCCAGCACCAAATTTATTTACTTGCGTGGTTTTGAAATCATATATTCTGTTGGTAGAAAACTACTCATGGAAGATTTCTATGAAGCCACAAAACTTCCTGAAAATTCTGTGTTGCAGAATTCTAGCACATACATTTAAAATATGTACCTCAAACCCAGACTGTTATCACAAATATAAATATTCCTATAATTTACAAACCATCAGTTACACACAGTAACAGACATATCTAAATTAATCTAAAAAAAGTATGACATTATTTTCGTCTTCCTTACATAAATTACATAAAAGCAAGGAGATGTAAAGCATTGTCTCAAGCCACGTGCCACATTCCCTTAAAGGGCCTGCAGTGGCTGCTTACTCATGTGGACCTGTACATTCTTATTAAATTTTCAAAAAACAATGGTGAAGTAACTAGTTGAACACTAATCTATAATTAAGTAGTATTTCAAATCTGTTGCACATTTTCAGTATATATGGCATCGTGCTATCTCATCCAAAACTATATAAATCCAATTGGATATCAAGAGTCAGGTACCTGAAATCTGCTCATAAAAGTGTGTTTGGTTGATGATTCTAATTATAAAATTATAATCATGGAATATAAGACTGCCCAACTTTTGGGAAACATGTATTTAGATATAATACACTACTCATCTTCAGATAAATATGAATTTTTTAGGTATACGCTGTATATTTTATTATCAAGGCAACATGATGAATTCATGAGTAATACTTTGCAATTGTTGGTTAATATAATGAATTCAAACATTACATTGCATATTCCCTTGGGATAATATATTGCAAATGTATTAAGTTTATGTGCTGTTCAAACAATAACTAAAAATTCCTGTTTTAACATCCTTTAGCTATTTCATATTTTCTCAACTCCAAATTTGTGGCTTAATTAGACCCAGATATAACATCTGTAAATTTTTCAAATTTATTAAAAATAAGTAGTTATTCATCTTTATTTTCATTTGACTAGTCTTTTTCCATTTCTGACCAGAAGTCAGCTTTTTTTCTGGGCTAGTTCATGTTTTAAAGCATAGAGGGTAAGTGAAGAACATCAATGAAATATCAGAAGACAGTCTTATGCCTTCTGTTATTTACAGCAGCAAAGTGAAAAGGTGTTTCAGGTGCAATAAAAGTAGTTGATGCAGATGTGTTTGCTGTGGGATATCCATTGAAAGAAAGCTGTCAGAGGAAAGAGGGCAAAGAAAACTAAAAGTGAAAAGAAGGAAGCTTCTACTTCATCAAAAGTTACTTGTAAGTGAAGTGGTGCAATCAGTTATTTGCACTTTGCAAAGGTATAATGTGAAAACTATTGAAGTCACAGTTGTCTTCATTGTTTCATCAGAAAATGTTGAGTGTATTTTTCTTATGGAACAAAAAGTATCAGTCTGTGGTGTCATTGTTAATTTTCCATTGCTTTCATGAAAGCACTCATTATGAAAAAGTATATTTGAACAAGACATGGAGTCATCATAATAAATTGCTGGGCGAGACATTGTTCCTTGGAATTATGAACAAACTAACATCATGTAGCACCCAACCTCATAGCCATATATTATGTAACTTTGTTACTGGTTAGTGATGCAATGGATAGCATGCAAAAAACTGTTCAAGGCAAGGCTGCTGTAGAACCAAAACAAGAAAAGAATTGCTTATTACCAAAATTTTCTAAAACATATCTTCAGTGGCCACTCAACATTTGAATACAATTGCTCAGTACTTTGTATAAAGTGTGACCTAGGCACACCAAACAAGTATGATTATAGTTAGAGGAACAAAGATTGCTTGAGTTGCATGTATTGTTTCAAACTTATCAATGAAATTGTTGAGAATTGATGTTTGTTCTTGTTGATATTTGGGTGAAAATGAAGCTGTTTCTGGGACATAGATTAAGAATGATCTCAGAATTGCACAATGTACTTAATTAAAACAGAGTTTAAAAGTAATATTTCTGATACTTCTGTTGTAATCAATTTTAAGATGAATTCAAAGCCACATATTTCAGAGAAAAGACAATAGAACATTATGAGAAAAGGGAGATAATTTAGCATAGAACAATGATAAAATATTACTCCTGGAATGAAGAAACTGAGAAAGTTGTTCATTACAACTTGTACCTTGATGATGTCATAATAGGTAGCAACAAACAAAATATGCTTGCAATGTATTCTCAAGAGTCCATTTTCGTGTCTATGAAATGTAAATTACCCTATATTAAAAAGTTGTATTGCAAAGTGATAATATGAAATGATGTTTGACCAAAGAGATCTTGTTTTTGCTCACTTTTATATATATATATATATATATATATATATATACACACACACACACACACACACACACACACACAC